CATGCTTTGGTCTCAGAAACATCAGGTTAAACATTCTCACATATTTTTAGCTCTATTTTCAAAATGGTTATGCAGATGCCTAATAAGGGGGTTTCTGATGATCTACAAGGCAGGTCACCATATCTTTAGGGGTCCCAAATACCATATGCTTGGTATTTGGGAGAGCAGAGGTGACATGGTCTCAGCTGTGCTCAGTTACTAGGCTGGGAGCAGCAAAAGCAGGGAGCAGTCTTGGACCAAAGATCAAGTTCAGAGATGAAGAAATGACCCAGATGTAGCCACAGAAAGCCATGGCTTGTAAAGAAAAGAGAGTCCCAGGGAAGTAACATGTTGCTGCACGTTACTTGCTGCTGCTGGGCCCGAATGTCAGAGTTGGATGGCACTTGGGAAAAGGGAAATTCTTCAAAGAGCCAATCTCCTTGACATCTTTCCTAGTCCCTAAATACGTCTCCCCACCTGAGGATGCTCACTCACTGTGCTACGGTGCCCAAAGGCAGCGTTTTCACACTGTGCCTGCCCAAAAGGCCATGCCCTGTTGGAGCAGTGATTTGATGAGAGCAGGCTCCAACTATTTAACTGCTAGGCTTAACTATCCATTACATCACATGCCAGCTAAAACCTCCAGCTGCTACCAAAAACAACAGCTCATCAACAAAAGCCAGCATGAGTGCCTCAGACAAATGCTTTGCTTTTTGTGTCAGCTCTCTGTTGTTTAAACCAAATCAGGGCCCCTTCAGGGCTCCCAGAAAGTTTGGCCACATCTACAAGAGGTGATGATTTTTCTTTTTTTTTTTTTTTCTCTCTATGCTCCAAATTTTCACACCATTTACACAGCTTTCAAATTCCAAAGTTAGCAAATGAGAAGCTCCCTGCGTAGGTGCAGACCATTCAAAAGAGATGTCCCATGACAGGTAAGTCTCTCCTCAGGGTCTTAACAGAGCTACTGCCCTTCCTGCTTTACTGATTATAAAACCAATGCAGCCATGCTTTTCATTTGAGTAGTGCCGTTACTGTATTAATGCTAGTTTGCATGTTTATAACCTCACCCATTTCAAAGTTCATTGAGCTGAAACTTAATAAACAGATATATTCTGAATAGATTTTGTTACTGTTATTTTTTTTTCCTGACCATTAAGACTCATTAGCTGGAGTCATCAGCTATTTTGCTTTCTTTCCCATCTGCTTATACAGTACTAGGATTCTTGGATTTTTTCCCCAGGGTGTAAAATAATTTCTGCAGATGGGAGAGCAGTTTCCACTGTTTTGATTTTTATCCTGTGGGGTTTCATTTGGCCACTGGTAGGTCAAAAGAGAATTGCAAATGTTTTTGATTAAAGACATTTCCATATTTCAGAAATTTGTCAAATCTTGAGATTTCCAAGATCATATTATGAACTAGAGTCAGAGGTGKTTTTTTTTTCTAAGAGTATTTCTAACACTTCCCCTCTTGACAAAAACTCTGCTCTCCAAAATAAACAAAGAGTCTTGCTCAAGAACAAATTTTGTGCAATTTCCAGTCACGGAGGRAAAAAACACCCTTTCTTGAGTTTGGGAAGAAAACAGCATTTTACTGCCATTGCTGTTAAGAGTTGCAGAAACTAGAACTTTGAGGGCCAAGTCTAGCCTCCTGTGACCTCTGGTAACCACCTAATTTTAAAACTTTAACTCACATTTCAGTTAGTTTGTCATATTGAAAAGCTGATTCAATAGCCCACTCCCCTGATTGCTACCAAAAYTCTGCTAATTTCCAGCTAAGTGTACTTTGGTGAGCTTACACCCATTTGTTCTCATGCCTGTGTTGTCCATTTGTTTACATAGCTCTTCTCTCACCCTGGGTTTTATTTCCCTCCTGTATTTACAAAGAGCAATCACACTTGTTTCAGTCTTTCCTCTATGAGGCTTAATAAATCCTTCTCTTGTGCAGTTTCTTGCTGTAAATGTATGCTCTCTATTCTCCTGACCCTGCTTACAGCTGTCACCTGAATTTATTTTGGTTTRTACTCCTCTTCCCTAGTTATGGGAGCCAAAACACTCCTTTCAGTCCTGATGTTGAAGCACAAGTACGTTTTTCCCTTCCATTGCCTGCCATCTTGGTGCAGTATTTTCTCTGCATTTTGATAGGCAGATTTCAGGTGATAACCTGAGGTTCATGTCTAGAAAATGCCCTGCCCCTTATTTTTACATTATGAACATTACATTCACTTTAGAACAACAATTAAGTGGCTACAAAATTATTTCAGTCTGTTGTTCTCTGATCCCATTTCCTGTTTTTTTATTTTTCTTCCAAATCCTATATTAATTCCTCAATACTTCCAATGCTAAAATTGCCACAGGAAGGAAATGGCTTAAATTTGATACCACATTTGGAATAGGTAACTCGCGTTCAGGGTGAGCCTCTCTCTGGGTATAGGGTTTGCTCCATAGTCTCCTTTCCTAACTTTGCACGTATATATATAAGTATATATATATATTTGATAACAAATATATATATGTCACCAGGTACCACAGTTAACCACTCTCTGTTTCAAATCTGCTGTGATTTGAACTAGATTTCATAGACTGATTTCTCTGTGTTCACAGAGGAAAACTGCAGGCTCTTCTCGAAGAGACTCCAACACTAAGGAAACAACCCTGGACTGACTCCCACAGAATAAAGCTGGATTAAAGCTTTATAGTTTTTTTGGAATAAAGCCCCTGGGTAAATCCACCTTGGAGAAACACTGCCCTCTCGTGCAGCTATTACCCAACTCTTTGGAGAGGTTACACAGAGGAAACCTCTGCGGTGAGAGGAAGTTCAGCAGGAAAAAAACTGTAATTGTTCATCCAGGCTTTGCATCCTTCAGACACATGCACCCTAGAAGTCTCAGTCTTCATCACTTTTCCCTTTCAGAGGAATATACAGGCTGAGGAAAAACATGTTTATGCTTAACATTTCTGTTACATTTCTGCTTAACATTTCTGCCACATTTCTGCTTAAAAACAACATCTCTGCATAGGAATGTTTCATGTTTGCTTACAAATTTTAAGATGTGTGTGGAAKAGGAGGGGAAAGATTTTAAATGGAAGGGCAAAGCTGCTTCAATAAAGCCAAAACTACTAGGACTATTAAAAACAAATTATATTTAAGATGAAGACTAGTGCTAGGAGATCCCTTATGCCTAGCAAGAACTCACCAAGAGTGAACCCCATCCATGGCCTGAGACCTTCACTGTGCTAAATATTATATAAATCCAAAGAACTGGTAAAAAGTTTGTGTTAAGAAAGCTAATACTGGTAAAAGTCTGTAGACCTTTTAATAGGCCTTAGACTTATACAAAGCATGTGATTATGATACCTAAGTCTAGTCATTTATCTTAAGATAGGTCAAAAAGTAGTTTTAGAGGAGGAAGAATTAAAGGAGATACTCATAGGTGAAAATCTGTAGAACCAGTGAACTTCTCACCTCTAACAGCTAGAAATGACCACAGGGTACAAGATCAGATGGTTCACTTAGCTGCTGAGTAACAAAATTAGGCTAAAAGTTAGATGTGGTTTACCCAGAGGCAACATGACAAATTAGATTCATCCACTTGCCATATTGGCATTAATGCACTTTCATATTAGCAAACAGATTACAAAAGAAGGCTTTGCCTCCAGGCAGGGTTTTCTGGCACTGAGCTCATTTTCAGACTGAGGTTCTCCCCTGAAGGCACAATAAGACCTCACTTCTTTGTAGCAAAGATCTCATCCTCAGCAAGGATTTACCACCAACATGTGAACATTTCATAGCGCCTCAGAACTTACTTAAAAAAAAAATGCAGATTTCTCTCTATGAAGCTATATATATTTTGCACTCTCTGTATCTTCACAATAAAGAAATACTTAGGCTACACTCAGTTAAAATCAATTGCCTCATTGTTAATATGATTTAAAAAAAAAAAAAAAGAATATTTTAAAGCCAATTGGCTGGGAGGCACCAGTGAGCACTGCTGAGTGTGCAGATGGCCACTGCTCTTCATGCTGAGGCCACAGTGCTGGTAGGATCATGCACCCACCGTGCCGTGGCCCTAGTGCCTACTGTGAGACGTGTGCTTTGTGCATGCCATGCTGCTAACCTGTGCGAGAGCCGTCACATGGGAGCTAGGGAGCTAGAAAGATGAAAGCCTCTTAAAATTAATTGCATGACATTATGGCTCATCTCTCTTGTCAGGCTGGATTTGGCCGTGACACAAGTGACGGCGGCRCCCTGTCACAGCGAGTGACGCCTCGTGCCCCCATGCTGCGCTGCTCCGGCGCGCTGAGGCAACCTGCGCGCGGCACCAGAAGTGCTTGGGCGCAGTGGCTTGAGTGAGTCCTCTGCTTGTGTGGGGCAGCCCGCGCAGCTCCGGCCCTCCAGGGCTTTCTGCTGTGCCCCAAAAACCTGAGGGATCCCATCCTCTCTGCACTCCTATTCCAAGAGCTACAGCTGTAAGCACTGGGTGCAGAATGCACAGAGCTATGTCAGAGCTCTTGCTGCAAGTGCAGCTTTGCTCGTGGCGGGCAGTGTCCACAGAAGTGCCAGGAGGAGAGCAGCCCCTCTCTCCTTTAGAGGGCAGTGGAGCTCGCTGTACGCGCGCAGCGTGCACAGGGAGGCAAAGCCATTATCACAAGCAACCAGACTCATCAGGCTCCAAAGCAAGAGCGGCTAATGGAAAGCAGGGCTGAAGTGGTGCCGCAGCCATGCTGTGTTGTGCAGAAAAGCCTTTTGCTGCCATATACGCTATGTAACACTCTGCACAGGGGCTCATTAATTTCCCTTGTTTGTGTTCACAGCCATCAGCAATCAGACAAGTAATTAGGGCTCCTCGGAGAGGCCTTCCATTTTCCCGCTGCATCACGATGGCAGCTTGGGCTGGAGCACTCCTTAGTAGCTGCAATAGCCAAATTAACTGCTGCCTCTTCCAGATGAGCCCTTCCCACCAGACTTMGGCCAAATCTGCTAGTAAAGCCAAGCCAGAGGTGATTTCAAAAGCAGACCTCACCTTTTCATGGGCTTGGGGGAGGCCTCGCGCTCTAGGTTGGAGGATGCATGCTTCACGTGCATTGCATTGTAGGAAGTGTGGGTGTACTCATTCTCGTCGCTGTAGTCGGGCCCAAGCAATGTTCGAGCCCATGTGCCCATGTCGTAAGGAGGAAGGGTCCCCCCAAACTCAGAGGGCAGGCATTCAGGGTGTATTAGCTGGTGAAGGCTGTTCAGATTGTTACCATGGAGGAAGATCTTTAAAGAAAAACAATAAAAAGAGAGTTCAAAGTTATCATCAGCTCCTTACTTCAGAGAGCACAATAATAATGACACTAATGATGTGTGCAGTGTCATTAGTCAAGACTATATTTTCAGGTGGGAATTTCAAAAGCCCTCAGCATGTGTTCTGGCAGGACAGGGGAAAAGAATTAGCTTTGGTATGGATAGGTGAGGAATTAGACTGGCACTCTAAACGCTTCTTAAAATCCTGATTCGATTACTTTTGGTGCATGACACTCTTATTTTCTTAAGTACCAGATCAGGGAATATGGAAGTCAGGGATAATAACTGATTATCACTGCTTTAAGAGGATAGATACATGTACAAAGAGTGGTGAGAAGGAAAGGGAGGTAGTAGAGGCTATGGAAAGAAAATRTGAAGAATATATCCTCAGCTTCTGAGCATGTAGCCCATGTCAGCAGCCAGGGACTGGCATTTCACCATGGTCTGCCATTCTGCTGAGCTGCTTCTCACTACTTTGGYTATCATCCATCTCTCAAATCCCTCTCAGCCTGGTACCGTCTTTGGCCTGTATGTTTTGCATCAAACATACCCCAGTGCTGGTTCTGAGTCTTCTGATAGTCTAGTGCCTGCTTTATAGATTTGAGAGATAAGGAGACTGCAGGACTAGTCTCATGCTTTCAGGTGCAGAAGGCCTACTTCTGCAGTGTGAGAAAAGCTGCAATTCTTAGAAGCCACTTGAAAAAAGAAAATATAAATTAAAAAAAAAAAAAAAGAGAGAAAAAGAAGGAAGCCAAGAAAACAGCAATGTTCAATCATTCCAGATTGGAGCATCCCACTCCTCATGCCCAGCCCGCCCCTCTATTTACCCTTTTTCTTGTCTTGTCTTTGAGGAAAGGTTTGATTAGCGTGTACAAGGCATGGATGTACCAGGGCTGGTTGACAAAATGGACTCCTCCAAAACGGGCAGGAAAGCTGTCCTACAGGAAGAAAAAAATGGAAGCCGGTTAATAGATGCAGTACATTAGTCAGCCAGTCACTAGGATAAAAGTCAGAGGAAGAAGTCTGCCTCTTGCCATCTGCAACAGCTAACGAACCCTGGGCTTGGCGAGGAGGGGGCAGGAGAGAGACAGAAAGAGGAAGAAGCCAAGAAATGCCTGCATGGGTTTTTTTCCTGTTAGCAGGCACAGTCCCTTCTCCCCTCCATGCACCAGCACATCAATTGCTGATGATTTAAAGTAGACTCTCCAGACACTCTGCCTGAACACTTTTTAACTCCATCAGGGCATCCGACTTTGCTGAGATGGGAAGTGAGATGGGGCTGATGAACACAGCTCCCTTGAGGGGAAGCTTTCTAATTTCTCATTGTGTTGCATAACGAGAGTCCCCGTTCCCACGCACGTTGCTACACACTGCTCACCTTTTCACCCTTCTGCCTCCCTGCCTCCCTCCTGCTAAAATCATCATTACAATGGGTGACCTTTCAGGGTGAGTGAGCAGCATATGATGGGGAGGAGGATGGGTGGGAAATGCCGATAAGTGAAGGTGTTGCAAGAGAGCACCATGACGGCGCCATGGAAACTGGCAGTGCTTGCTAGAGGTTTTGTACAAACATTCCCTGCATTAACATGCAGGTAGCATCGTCCCGGGGAGGTGTTTGCAAAAGCATCCTGCTCCGCTCAGGCAGCGTGGCACAGTTAATAAAGGAGGAGGTTGCTGGCACGTTTTAAAGGTTACTGTATATTGTGATGGGCATTTTGTACCTACGCTCTCATCTATAAATGTCAGTCAGCCAGGGATGAGCCTAGCATCTTCCCACTTGCATAAAGAGTGGGACAGCCACTGTTGCTCCGTGCAACTACACATCCAGAGAGAGGAGAATTGCCTCTCCCCAGTGAAGGGTGATCCTGACAGAGCCTGTGTTTGCCTCCAAGTGCTCATAAACCTTGTCACTCACCATTTAAAGAAAGAGTATAATCAGATCTCTTCCTTCAGGGCTTTGGCTTCGGGAGTCAGGCAACATTCATYCCCCCCACAAAATTAGTGTAGGGTATTATGAGGCTTTCTTTTGCCTTTCTCTGAAGAATCAGAGATTGAGCACGGCTTTATGAGGTGATAAGGAAAATCCCCTTATGCACCTTACTGGTATAGCTTCTGTACAGCTTCAAGGTCAAATTATTCCCCAGATTTAGCACCATATCTGTGCTCACCACCTCTGACAACCATCCTCACCCCAGGCGGATTAGCAGGACCCTTTACACTCCTCTATGTACAGGCCATGGGTTACCTCTGTGGTCATCTCAAATACACTCAGTGTTTGTGAGGGGCCACAGGCATTAAACGATGCCTTTGACATTAGCAACAGAGTGGTGTAAGGCACTTGTATCTGCAACATGCCAATTTAACTGAAGTCGTTACAAATACTGGTCTTGGATTCTCTGCTGCAAAACTGTCGCAGCCAAACCAGTATACAGGGGACAGCAGGCTCAATAATATAACATGTGGTTATATTATTTATATTCCCAGTATCTATAAGCTGGGCCTTTTAAGGAAGACAAATGCTCTGTTAAGATGTGTTTATGCTTATTTACTTTAAGGAAAAATGATGATTTCCTTTCTTACTGGGATATTAGTCAGAATTTATGGACATGGCTTTGGCTGATATAAATTACTCTGACTTCAACAGAACTGTTATGAAAAGCATCAGCTGCGAATCTGTCCTTTATCCCAAGTTCACCTAAAAAAATCATTGACCATCAAAAATCTGAGGCAAAGCCCAAAGTGTCTTTCTACCCTATGATGACCTAAAATTGGGTTTTAGATCAGACCTGAGCTAGCTGCTTTTCTGCTACAGAGGAATGAAAGTTTAAAGATTTGAAGCCTTTCATGGAATATCACAAAAAAAAAAAAAAAAAAAATAGAAACAAGAAAAAACAGAAGGTCAAAAAACAAATAAGAGGAAAAAAACAACTAAGAGATTCCAGAAATTTTCATCCACAATATTCTCCGTATTTGTACAAGCAGGTACAACCCAGAGGCTGTAGGCCTAGGGTTGAAGTTCTGCAACCTTTTGCATTTTGTTTCCTTTTTTGCAGTATGACAGTATAGGTCAGTGTAGAAGATACAGTCTCTATGTGAAGCAAGGAAAAGTCAAGACATAAGAAATGGGAGGCACAGAAATAACTTGAAGATATGAAGATTTGCACAGATCTAGAAAAGAAGAGTTGTTTAGCCTTCTCACTGAAAAATAGAGATATTAATCACAGTCTTCAAAGGGAAACATCAGTCAGATTTCACTTCCAACGTGAAACTGTTTGACTTGTAATGTTTGTCAGCCCTAATGATACCACCTCACTCAGAATGGACTGAATGATGACCATCATAGGAACCTGTCAGAGGTTTAAACTGGCAGCTTAATTGGCAAATTAAGGAAAAGTAATTAATTTTTTTTCACAGAAAATGAAATTTATTGTCTATGCAACATAGATTGTTGAGTCCATAAGCTAGATTCAGTCTGGTATTTCAATGGGTAAAATGTTAAAGGAAAGTTACTTGCGGCTTAGTTTTAGTTAAAAGGAACTTCTTTATTTTCATCCTGAAGATACACCTAAAATGCACAAAGAACCTTGAGAAAGCAGTGTGAAGATGAGGAAAAATAAGAAAAAAAAAAGACATTTTTGTGTATGTAGCTTTCTGTTATGTTTTATTCCATGCCCTACTAAGCACAGTAAACCGAGTTTGACTTTCATTCCTCAGTCCACCTGCATTTGTAAGGCTGTCAATTAGAGCAAGGACAAAAGTATTTCTTTTTTTTTCTTTTTTTTTTTTTTTTTTGAACTACATAAATTTGATATGGGAATCATCAGGACACTGTTTGGAACCCCAACATACCCATTTTGCAGAAGTCCCTAATTAGAGTTGCCTTGACAAGGATTGCTCCCAACTGGAGGTATGTCTTGCACAGCTCCAGTAAGATGTATAAGACCTTTCCCACACCCCACTTAGTGTCTCTGCTGCTTTCCCTGAGGCAAGGTGAGAGAAACTGAAATTGATTTTCTGCTGGAGAGCTCTTGCTTTTAGGAATTCTCTTTTGGTTTCTCRTGTCTTGCGATTCCTTGGAAAGGTGTATTTTATAATGAGGTACACTTTTTGGAGCCCACTGTGGAAAGGACCCTGGGATCATGGAGCCTTTTCCTTAACCKGATTACTTGCTAAAACTCTACCCAATCAGGCAAATATATTTACATTTCATTCTAAAGGCATAAATGAACTAGTGAAGGAACTATGGCAGCTGGGGATTGGTCTAATTATTTGTGGGTATTATTGTCATCAGAAAATCAGGCTGGACATATTTGCATGCCACTCAGAGATGTGACTGCAGTATGTGTAATACTTCCAAACGAGTGCTAACTTAGCTAATGTGACACTGAAGAGAAATAGCAAAAGGAAGTGTGATATAACCTTGGGCTGTCAGTTCACCCCAGAATGGGACCAGGTCTTCTTCACTGGGACCCGAGATGAACTAAAATAAAGGAAACGCCTACCTATGGTGAAGTTGTACCTTTCCTAAATGGTGTTGCCTAGAAAGACACCAATTGTCAAGACATAGGATTTTTGTTGTTATGATTTATTTGACTGAAACTGTTGCTAGAGATAATATAGCTATAGTGCTAGAGATGCCTTTTGCCTGATTTGTCTTTTTGACTTTGTATATGTTTCTTCCACTCTTCTCATTGATTCCACTCCACAGCATCCCCAAAAGAAGAAACAGGAATTAACACTCTGAGTGCCACAGTGAAGCTGCCTCACTWTATCTGTCATTTCAGAGTGCTGAATTTTCTTGAAGCTTGCAGATCAGAGGAAGATATTATGGAGATCATTGATCCCTTCTCCTCTCAAACCTCCAGGTCAATGAACTCTCTGAACTGAATTGAGTYTGGAACTCAAAAATCTCCTGTACATAATGTTCTGTTAAATAGCTTGGGAGGAAAAGCTATGAGGTGAATAAGAGAGAATTTTCACTATTTCTGCTTCATTTTGCCTTCTCGACATCTATTTCTTTTGGTATGAGTATGCATCAGAAACCTTTAACTGTTTTTTGAACTCCTTCATTCTGAAAGCTAAAAATGAAAATGAATTTCAAGCACTCAAGATGTACGTACAGCTCCTCACAGCAAAGTGCAGCAGAAAAGCAAAACAGTCCTTGGAATATAAAAAATAGAAATAAGTCTAGCTTGAGACCCAGGACTAATTTTCAAATTGTGTGAACTGGCTCAACAGAGAAATGATCTGAGCTCAAAAACCAAGTTAGAGCATATTTCTAGGTTAGGACATCTAGATTTTGGACACAAACATCTCTAAAATGCTTTAACAAGTTCTACTCTTTGCCACTAGGAAAGCAAATATGCATCTTGCCATCCAAATTCACTTTAATCTGGACCATACTGCCTGGTTTAATACAAATTAAAGTATAATTCCCTTTGAATGAAAATGATTTCCCTCAGATTCTGGGAGATTTCAATCATAAACACTGTTTAAACTGAAAGATCATTTAAACTGAGGATAAAAACAACATCTTTGTGCCTCTGAGCTTACATAATCAGTCCCTGTGGTGGATTAAAGCTCCCACAGACAGTATTAATAGCTTAGCAAGATTTTATTAATAGTTCAGTGATAGTTTCTCCACAGAGAATCTCTGGGAGTGGATGATTTTAACGGATTGGTACAATCAGGGCAGGCGTCTTCCAACTCGCCATCTTTGGATTCAAATTTGGCCTCTGAAATTGCAGTAGCATTTCAAAGTTGTTGCCCCAGACTGTATGGCCTTGCCTGATTTTGGATAAGTTGTGACTATTAAAATCTTGTCCCTGGCACATTGGAATGAAGGCATTTAAACATCCTCGGCTTGGGCAGAGGAGGTTGTCTTACAGTATGTATTAAGAGAGGAGGTGACGCGTTACCCTCACTGCTACAGTTTCAG